TAAAGCCGTCATACTTCCAACTATGAGTGGCTAAGAATTTTCTTTCTGATTCAAGGGATTTTTTCAGTTGTTCCATTATGAGGTTTTTTTCTTAATTTATTGTTCTTGCCTATAATTTAAGTATTTATTGATTCTTGTATTGAGTTATGAAAGTTAATATCATTCAAATTGACAACTTGATTTGTTATTTATTTTCTAGTGCTATCTGCTAGTTGAATGTTACGTAATAGACAAGAACCGGCAGTATTGAGTAGGAATTAGACAAAGCATGTATATTGGTGAGATATTGAATATGCATGTTAGTTTAAATGTGGAATCAATGAGGCAAAGTCTAAATAGTTGCAACTATCTCAATTGTTTAGATTTTGGTTCAACTATATTTCCTTGGTATTTATGCTATCATTGTTTGGTATGGAACACTATCGTGTCCAGCTGAATTATGATAAGAACTAATTAAGTGTTAGGCTTGGTTAGTTAATTTAGGGAGATTAATTGATTTATTACGGCTATCCTTATAGATCTTTGGTTGAATGCTTAAATTGCAAGAGTAGTTTTAGTGTCTGTGATTAATGAAATAATTGAGTTATCTATCCCTTGAGTCAGAAGTCTGTTACTTTGATTTTCTTTTCTTTTATTAATTTTCTGTTATTTGAGTTTTCCATTATTCTAGATTTAGAACAACAATCCAAAAATCCATCTTTGCATTAATTTGAAGGAAATAATCCATCGTTCCCTGAGGAGACGACCTTACTTCTCTAAACTACGTAGTTTGAAGTAGGTTATTTTATTTGTGGGGCTTGACACCCCATCATAGTGCTTTCTCAGATGCCGATTGGGTAGGATGTCCTGACGATCGACGTTCTACTGGAGGGTTTGCTGTATTTTTGGGTCTAATCTTGTGTCATGGAGTTCAAGAAAACAAGCTACAGTTTCTAGATCCAGCACCGAGTCAGAATACAAGTCTTTAGCAAATGCTACAGCTGAAGTAATTTGGATTCAGTCACTACTTAAAGAACTTGATGTGTTTCTATCAAGACCACCTTGTCTTTGGTGCGATAATCTGGGAGCTACATACTTGACTGCAAATCCTATTTTCCATGCTCGTACGAAGCATATTGAAGTGGATTTTCACTTCGTAAGAGAAAGAGTTGCCCGTAAAGCCCTGGAAATCAGGTTCATCTCTTCACAAGACCAGCTTGCGGATATTTTCACAAACTATTTTCGAAATAATCTCAATCTTGCTTCAGTGAAGTTGAGATTGAAGGAGGCTGTTAAAAATAGTTAGTTTTACTTTAGTTTTACTTAGAGTTTACTAAATTAACATTGTTGACTAGTTCTTTATGTGTTATTTTAGGACTTTTGTTAGTCAAAATCATATCTCTGTGAGCAGTAACAACATGGCTCATTTTTCTGATATCATGTAATAGACTTCTATTATAAATAAAGAAGCTGCCCTCTGATCCTTCAGTGTGGCAAAACATAATCTTTCTTCTTTCTTTTCTTTATAATTCCTAGTGATTTGAGCTTGGTAAACAGCAGGTTATATATCATGCATCGAATTGTTGAAGAATCTTCAGCGGGCTACTGTTTAGCATGTGAATCAACCCTAAACCAATTGATTTCCATTCAGCCTGATTTTCTCCCTATGTCTTCCTTCACAGCATTTTCTCCTTTTAGGTTGTAGATCAGATTTTGTAAAACCTGCATTTTCCCGGAATTTCTAAATTGTTCTGCGGGAACAGAGTATCATCCTTTACGACATTGCAATTTGGCTTCTTCCCCAATAGGGAGCGATCAATCTGGTCAAAGCCCAAGAATCCGTAAGTATTTGCTTCATCAATCATACGGGCTACACCGCTAGAATCACAAAGTTCAAATTTGGAATGTGTAATTGATTTCTATTACATTAGTATATAAGTGGCTCAACTTGCCTGTGCTCTGTTACTTTGAGGTTAACAATTTCATAGAACTTTAGTTGAAATTTTCTATACTCAAACTGATTTATTTATTATCTTAGGCTTAGGTAATTCAGGATTTCTTGATCAAGATTTACTCTCCGCAACGTAAACTTATTTTTGACTTCATATTGTAGTTGAGAAATGGAGCTTGGTTTGAGGGTTTTCTTCTTTCAGGCAGCTGTCTGAGTCAGAGCTTCCTCTGTTTTCGTTTCCCGCTAATTTGACTGATAGTTTTGAGTTTGAATCATAGGACACATGGTTTTTTTTTCATTTTGTTTTCTCCTGAATTCAATCTTACTCCCTTTTGAAAAACCTTGTGAACTTTTTCTTTTATTTTTTAGTACAAAAGAGGAGGCTGAAGCCGTCGTGAAAATGGAACACCCACTATATATGCATGAACCACAGTTCAACTGCATCTAGTCTATGAGATCCTCCCGACTCCCCACTGTCAGCGAAACTAAACAGTCTGCCACAAAATTAGTTTCTCTTCATTCATGCCTAATCTTCACACAACACGGTCTTTGTAGCATCTCCTTAATTGCATGAACCAGGATGAGGAGGCTTTTTGACGCCGTATTAAGTTTTCCTTTTTCTCCCTGAATTTAATCATCCATAGACATGAAGTTTCAAAACAAAAGAGTCCCCTGCTCTTGTTCGAGAATCTGAATCATGTTCATGCTTCTTCATTGTATCCGTGTTGGTTTTCGTTCCACTTAGTACTCCACTTTAGTTTACCATTTTAGTTCGGCATAAATTATTAAAATGGATGAATGGTCAAACAAATTTGTCTCCTAGGAAACTAGCCAATCCTCAATGAAAGAATTATTGTATGTGTTATTCACATGATACATTGTGGTATTTATAGTATAATAATATAACAACCCTAGCCGTTTACATGGAAAACCCTAATTAGGATTTTGATTATTTCCATATTCTATCACTCAACATAAAAAGACTTCGGGTATGCAGAGAAGAAAAAAAAAAGACAAATTCTTTAAACGTATGGCTGTGGGGATTTATCAAAGCAATTGAAACAAACTGATCCATCATGTTCAACCTCGCAATGGTTAAGGTGATGGCACATCTATTCCATCAGGACAAATGATAGAATTTTATTTTCTTTTTGAAAAAAAAAGGAAGGAAAGAAAAAAAAAAAAAAAGAAATGCAAGAATGATGAAACGAGCAGAACTCCCACAATTGCAAGAGTAAGCAACCGAGCTAGTTGGATGGTGAATTCAATGGAAACTTGGGCAGGATTAATTATCGTATTCAACCCCAAGTTAGGGTTTTGAAATTGTTAAGATGAAAAGACAAAAAAAAGTAAAATAAAATAAAATTCTGTAGGCTTCAAAATCCCAAAAAAAAAAAAAAAAAAATTACAATAAAATCGCGGGCTTCCTTCCAATAAAAAAATTACACCACTGTGCAACGAAATTCAATTGGGGGGACTCCCTATTGTAGCAATGGTACTCTAGCATTAATATTGTGGTAACACCAATTCAACAATTCAACAATCGAATACATTATACGTTTATGTTTTATTTTTATCTCAATCTTTGCGTATATATTATAAGCTTTCTCAAGTAGCATTATTTTTCAAGATGTTAATGAACATCTCGAACGAGGTACCCTAATACCTGAAAAAAGGAAAGGTACGCATCAATTTTACCAAGTTTATATGATGGTATTGATAATGATGTTACTTATTAGAACGAAGTTCATTGGTTTTAAAATATGGGCTTAATAAAGCTTGAAGTATTAATGCGGAACGAGAAAAAATTCGTTTATCCTTTTCAGCTATAGGCGACAAATTTCTGTGCACGAAAAATTCGAATTCTTGTGACTTAAAATATGTGCTCTCTCTTGTCTTGTTGCGTTCCTCGCGTGAAAAAAATCTTAATTTCTGAGGAATTTCTTCAAAAACTGATGATTCGAAATTCTTTTAAAACCATAGTTAAACATATTGATTTAAGCATTTATGTTTGATACATTCTCTGATTTAAAATTATTTTCTAATTTATTGAAATTTTAAATTTTTAGTATAATTTGAATTAAAAATAAAAATGTAAACTGAATAATTATTTTGGAAGTAAAAGAAAAATATATATATAAAAAAAAGATAAAGAAAGAATGAAAGAAAAGCATTGATTTATACAAATGAACCTATTACCCATTGTTTAAATATAACTTCCACTTTGGGAAAGAGAAGTAACAATTTGTCAATTTGTACTGTTAAAATGAATACCAAAAAAATTGTTTTCTATGTTTAATTATTACAGAGAGACAAATTTCCGAACCATAAATTGCCAGAAGAAGTGCACTTATAATCTTGAAGATGATCAAGTCAATCACCCGCTAAAAAAAGCATTGAAAAAAAAAAAAAAAAACACACACACACACACACACAATAGTGTAGAACTACCAAACGCTAGAGGAATTTTATATTCACGAAATTAATTAAGTGGCCACGATTTGCAACATGTACTTAGTCCTACTTTTTTTAATTCTTTGTTGGCCGGAGTGATGTAGTCAAAGGAAGGCATCGAGCAAGTCCAGGCGACTCAGGTGAAGACCAATTAACAAAGTATACTCTTATTTTGGGATGTTGCCTTTCTTTGACTTGGTTGTTGTAATGACTAACCGTGTAAATGACTGATTTTTCAAGAAAAAAAGATACTATTTTTTCCACACTTTTGTAGCTTTACTGGTAACAAGGGGATCCAAATCGGTATCCCGTCACTTCTGTTTCATTTTACATAAATTTCATAATAAATTTGACAGTTATTTAAAAAAAAATTATAAATTCAACTTTAATTATTAATGTATCAAATTTCGAAATTTAGTAGTATGAATTATTTTTATTTTTGACAGAGATAGTAATACTATTTTACCGACAATAAGTAACTAATACACCCAAAAAAAAAAAAAAAAATGTACATACGATCTAATCTTTTGAACACCTTTGTGGGTGTCAAAAAGTGAATTGTTTTAGAGCTCTTCCATTGGACCTTAAATCGTTTTGCTCAAATGCCTAAGTTTGTCTTACCTAAAGGTCCACTAATTAGTCTGTTATAGAACCAATTCACCAATGGATTAATATTGTAATTGATCAAGTCACAGTCAACAACTGGTTTCTTATTCCCTTAGCCAGCAGAATTGGACTCCATCAAGATTCCACACTCATCAAAACGTGCCTATATAAACTCAAAACACCATTAACAAACCCCTCAATCAAAACTCACCATAATAATAACTTTTGTGCACTATTTCAAATATTTGCACAAATATACAAAATGGATTTCTTCTACGTTTCAATCCTTAGTAGTCTCCTTGCAGTCTTTGTTGCATTCCTCTTGTACAAGAACAAGTCAGGCTCTTCGGCCGGCCGCCTACCGCCGGGGAAAACCGGGTTCCCGGTGATCGGAGAAAGCTATGAGTTCCTCTCAACTGGATGGAAAGGTTATCCTGAAAAGTTCATCTTTGACAGGATGACCAAATATTCATCCCAAGTTTTCAGGACTCATTTATTAGGCGAAAAAGCCGCTGTTTTCTGCGGCGCAACCGGGAACAAATTCCTGTTTTCCAACGAAAACAAGCTTGTTCAAGCATGGTGGCCTAAATCAGTAGACAAAGTTTTCCCTTCATCCAGCCAGAGTTCATCAAAAGAAGAAGCCATCAAGATGAGAAAAATGCTTCCAAATTTCCTGAAACCCGAAGCGTTGCAGCGCTACATCGGCGTCATGGATTACATTGCCGGAAAACATTTCTCCTCCAACTGGGAAAATCAGGACAAAGTCGAAGTCTTCCCACTCTGCAAGAACTACACTTTCTGGATTGCGGCCAGGTTATTTGTCAGTGTTGAGGATCCAGCTGAAGTTGCCAAATTGCTTGAACCTTTCAATGTTTTGGCATCCGGGCTGATTTCAGTTCCGGTGGATTTGCCCGGAACGCCATTTAACAAGGCAATTAAGGCATCAAATCAGATCAGGAAGCAGCTCTTGGAAATCATAAAACAGAGGAAAATTGATTTGGCTGAGGGGAAAGCATCTCCTACTCAAGATATTATGTCACACATGTTGACAACAAGTGATGAAGATGGGAATTTCATGGATGAAGCAAATGTTGCTGACAAAATTCTTGGGTTGTTGATTGGTGGACATGATACTGCTAGCTCTGCATGCACTTTCATTGTCAAGTATTTAGCTGAGTTGCCTGAAATCTATGAAGGTGTCTACAAAGGTCAGACTTTCTTTTTCCATTAAACCTTTTTTTTTTTTGGAATATATATATATATATATATATATATATATATATATTTCTCGTGTTATTTATAACTGCCCATTGATATTCTCTAACTTATAATCTTGTGAGAATATTTTCTCACTTCTACTAACTTCACCTAACCATTTGTTTTCTTAAAAACAACGTAACTTTATCAAAATTATTTTTTATACAAAAAAAAGTCTTAGTGTTTAATTATACATAATGTGAAGTCGTTTTACTAATAAAATACTGCTCGTTTTGAACAATCTTTCTCCGTTCTATTCAGTTTAGTCTATTGTTCACATTAATTAAACCAAATCCTCTAAGGTGGAAAACATTGTCATTCTGTTTGACATTAGCAAGAACTTTTTAACCAGAGAGATTATGTTCAGTATTAATTAATTATATGTGTTATTATTTTCTTGAGTTCATTCACTGTTTAAATCTTTTTTTTTTTTTTGTGGTTATATAAAATTCTTTGGTTTTCTTTTGTTGTTTTCCGAAATTGGAATGAGACAATTTCGAGAATTTCATCAATTCCAGCCTCAAAGATACAACTCTCTTCTTCCATTGGGCGTTGCTGGCCTTTTCTCCAAAATAATCAAACATTTTAGCCCCATTCTAACTACCAATATGTGAAGGTCAAATTTAGCCAGCCGATTTTGTTTTTTTGTTTTTTTTTTTTTAAATTTTCCTTTAAGAAAAAAAAAAATTCTACAAAAATAACCAGCACGAGATGATTAACAAAATACGACCTTGTCCTCTTCGCCGTTTCTCAAGCTAGCACTCATTGTCGATTAGTATTGATATCCTTTTCTTTTTAAGGCCGGCAATTTTTAATATTTTGTAGAGTATCAACTTAATAAATAGAGTAGGTCACCAAATGAGCAAAAGATTCTTGATTTTGGAGTTTGGACAGAAACTAATGTAGTACTCCCTCCGTCCCATAATTATTGTCCAGTTTGAGTTTTCATTTCTAGTTCAAATTATACTAAAAGTGAAATCTCAAATTGGACAATAATTTTGGGACAGAGGGAGTAGTATTTCTTTCCCCCCCACACCCCCAATATATAATAATTGATGGCGTCTTCCTTTTTTTTTTGTTTGAACAGAACAAATGGAAATTGCAAAATCAAAAGCACCCGGTGAACTATTGAACTGGGAAGACATCAAGAACATGAAGTATTCATGGAACGTAGCTTGCGAAGTGCTAAGACTTGCACCACCACTTCAAGGAGCATTTAGGGAAGCCCTTAACGACTTCATCTTCAATGGATTTTCCATCCCTAAAGGATGGAAAATTTATTGGAGCGCGAATTCGACGCACAGGAACCCGGAATGTTTCCCGGAGCCCTTGAAATTTGACCCGTCGAGGTTTGAAGGGTCGGGTCCTGCCCCGTATACGTTTGTTCCGTTTGGAGGCGGGCCCCGAATGTGCCCCGGAAAAGAGTACGCCCGGTTGGAGATTCTGGTGTTCATGCATCATTTGGTGAAGAGGTTCAAGTGGGAAAAAATTATTGCTGATGAGAAAATTGTTGTTGATCCAATGCCAATCCCAGCTAAGGGTCTTCCAGTTCGTCTCTTTGCACACAAATAAGAAGAAGAAGAAGAAGAAGAATTTGTTAAAGAGATTATTATTTCTGGCTTCCCACAATAATTAATTTAATTATATGCCTTTTGATTTGATTGAAGTTTTGTTGTTGGAGTTTTTATTTTACTGCAAATTTAATATTCTTAACTTCCCAGTGTATATACACAATTAGTTATTGCGTCAAAGTTCGAAGATGAAATGTACTTTTTTTATCCACAGCCGTTGAAATATTTTTGGTGCACTATTAAGTATTAAGTACATGTTTGCTACGTGTTTGAGAAAGCTAAAATCATCACACTTTTTAATTACTACTATCTTTTCCCTTCGTACTAAAGGTCTAACCAAAATCATTTATTAGATTATATTCTTATTCAGAATCTGTGACGCAAGGTTACATGAGTAGTTCAATGGCTTAGTAATAGATGTACACAAAAAGTTTAAAAAATTAATCTAACAAAGAAGGTGATTAAAAAATACTGATTATATCAAATTGTAGGCACGAGTTTTAAACATGAGTAATATTTAGGATGAGAAATTGTTCCTAAAATACTCCCTCCAGTCCTTAATATAAGGCATTTTGATTTTGTCATAGGTTTCATCTAGTACGCATTTATAATTGACGGAAAAATCTTAAACATATATTTTCACATTCATTATATTCTCTTGATTGTTATGAAATATTTTTAAGATTTTTTTATCAATTAAAAATATATACTAAGTTAAACCTAAGACAGATCAAAATGTCTTATATTAAGGATCGGAGAGAGTATCTTTTAAGGAATTTTAAAAAGGAAAAATATCTATAAAAAAAATTCCATAGTTTAATAGTAACAAAATAAAAAAGTCCTATTTTGATGATTAATTTAGCCTCCGGCAAGTAGTGGTTTTTCAAATATTAGCTAAAAATCGATGTTGACGAACGATCCCAAAAACACATGCAGCAAATGTGTTTGAGGCCGGCCACTTTGACAAGTGTGCGTGATAGCCTAAACATATTGGATCCAATCTTCCAAACGCGAATACGTAATTACATCGACATTTGATCTCAAACTCTCCTTAACGGCACAGAATTTTTTTACACTTTCTTATTACATTCTATGTAACACAAAAATGAGATTCTCTTTCATTTTAGCGGTTACAACATTTTATCTCTGCCTGATCAACTTTAGCTCTCACCTTAAGTAAATTTATAAAATACTCCCTCCGGTCCTGTTTGCGTAAAACTTGTGCACCTGAAATTGTAAGAAAAAAGGGAGAACAAGACTCACCCAATTAAATCAGACGATTGTGGTTGAATTCGAAGCAACCTCAGACTAGAATTGAGAATTTAGGGTTATTGGCTTTAGTTTGAGAAAGACCGGTAGAAACTTAGAGAAAGAGGGGAAAAGCCGAAGAAAGGGTGTTTAACTCATAAAGTGAAAAATCCTAGCGCCGGCAAGCTATAAATGGTGCCGATGACACGCTATTACATAGAAGACAAAGACAGGACGGACGTGCAGAGGGTAGTCCTACATACATAAGTATTAGAACACTTATTACAGCATAGCCGAATTCGTTGGAGTAGAAAACGGTGAATACCTACCTAATTTTATGTAGGAAAAAAAGGCAAACAACTCTATTGCTAAGTTAGGGGTTAAGCAAGCATGATAGAACGTGATGAACTACTATAGGGAAGGTAAAAACATGATAAACGTAAAAGGAAATAATAAAGGACAAGGAAAATCAGTTGTATGGTTGATCGATGATGATTTTCTCTTCGTGGCTGCCTCTATTTATAGTGTTCGGACGAAACCTTTGCTGTCTTATGATTCCTTGGAGAAAAAGTAACATAACATGGTTAATTTCCTTGAAAATAAGTTACTCTTCCCGCAGCAACCTTCCAATCGGTTGATGACTCTTCTCACAATCAACTCTTAATTTGGTAATAGAATTCTTTCCCAAACATATCTCCTTAAATAACTAACAATTTTCCTTATAAAAAGGAGCAACAAATAAGAAAGAATCTTCCTTAATTGCCAATTAATCACGCATCCGATTCTGAAACAATTATATTCCCACTTAACTCATACTTACTTTCTCCAATTCTGAAACTATTAACACTCAACCAGTCCATATTGATCCCAAACGTATTTTGACCACTCTTGGACTATTTTAGGACCTTAAAATCTCAGCTATTATCATATAAATCTACCAAAACTCTTGGGCCATGATTCACATCTCTCGTCGGCCCGAATAGCGAAAAACTGTCCGAACAGGTCCTTATTATAAGACATTTTGATTTTGTCTAAAATTTCATCTAGGATGCGTTTTTAATTGGAAGAAAAACTTTAAAAATATATTTTTACATTCGACGTGTTCTCCTAATTATTAGGAAATACTTTAAGATTTTTATTTCAAATAAAAATATATTCTATGTGAAATTTAGGACAAATCAAGAACAAATCAAAATGTTTTATAATAAGGACAGGAGGGAATATAACGTGAATAATGATCTATATTTTAACTCAACTTTATATTTATAAAATACCCTCTGTTGATAAATCACCACACACTTACTCGAAATCCACTTCTAGAATTCTTTAATGAATATAATGATTATACGGGCATCGCGAGTAAAGTAAAATTTACATTTTAGCTATAATATTTTTTCCAACAAAGTATGCCGATCAACTCGGATCATTTTTGTTAAAACACTTGATATATGCATTGATTATCATCATCCTCCATTCTAAAATTCATCAAAAAAAGTTTGTTTTTTTTTAAAAAAAAAATGGAAATAAAAAAACGGAGCTTTTTCTGGAGCTACATCTCTAGAAAGACTAATTGGATGAATTTTTACGTCGTACTTCATAGGATGGAATGGTCCAAGTAATTATATGTTTATTTGGTTATTAAGTTTATTGAATGTGCAATGTTATATACAAAATATTCATGCTATCTCAAGATATCACCACTATTATATATTTGTTATGAAATATTTGATTTGATTTAATGTCTACAGTTAATATGTATTATTCTATTCACAATCAAAGATATATGATTTTATAATATTTAGTATTAATGATAGGTAATTTATTTCCCACAGTTTGATCTCCTACTTTTTGTAGGGAGCTCATTCATGTTTCAAAATACATGTGAATACAAGTCTCTTATCTTTCTCTACTCTCTTGTCTTTCCTCTTTTTTCTTATATTTAGTTTCATATTAGTAATTTAGCATTAATTTTATAACACGTTATCAGCACGAGCCTCTAGCCAAAGAGCTTCTAGCACCACCTGAAGTTAGTGTGTCTTGATTCTGAAGGGCTGAAGCTTCAATGAATATTTTCATTCTACCACCGCCTACAGTTGGTGTATATTAATTCTGAAGGCTTAAAACCTCAATGAATATTTTAAAAGGCTTTCGTGATCTAAAGCGCCTGAAGCGTTGTGACCTCAAAAATTTTCTGGTACACGAGTTTCAAGCCACATTGAGACGGTTCATCATGGAGTTCAATTTAATGACTCAAAATGATCGGAAAAAAAGGTAAATCATAAACCATACATATTTGGTTCGCATATAAAGAGAAATATTTTTTGTTATAAATTCTATTTATTCATATCACACATATAACAATCACGATACAATTCTTAAGATATATATATATATATATGTTGATGATTTGAATGTATAAAACTTATATAAGTTTGTAATTGTGATAACATTCATGTGTGCAAGGAAAAAAAAAATTCTTTAAAGAATTAATTTCTTTGATATTTAGATTGCAAGGAAAGCACTTTGTTTTATTATCATGTGTTTATTGATATTAGTGAAAGGGAATTAATTCTTTTCTTATATTTTCTTCGTATTTTTATATTTTACTTTGCTCATAGTAATGTTGATATTTATATATGAAAGTAAATACATTACAATAGCAATATGCAAATGCATCAAAATTGCTCCTGAAGTAGCAATGTTGTGATAACATATTTAGCATATTAATGCTCCTGGAGTAGCATTATAGTGACATATTTGATGAAATCTTATGAATTCAGTTTCTTCTATTCCCCGAAGTGAGTGGGTAGTAAATTATTTCAAGGCAAATTGTAGACATTAATCTACAATATGTATATGTACAATTCTTTACCTGAATTTAGAGAATTAATTTGAAGACATGTTCAATTTATACATGATCCATTTCCTGAAGTAAATGTGACGATCATGCAATAATGATAGTGGTGATTCTAAAAAATACATTGTTAACCACATGAAGTTGAAAAAATATTGAAAACACTACTATCGATCTGAAATTAAAAAGTAGTATATCGCAAATGATATCGTTGTGGCATAAAAATCATTTGGTTCACATGTTCTGTATATCACAAATATCTTATTGATATCCTATTGAAAGTAGACAAATTCATTAGTCCTGTCGACAATGAATTAACAAATCACAATTCGATCTTTGTCAAACGGCCGATGGTGATTTTTTTTAAAAAATAAAATTTAGAGATAAAAATCTCCAATATGTCAAATACCCTGAAGGTGTTGTGGTCTTTTGGCCACCATAGTAATGATACTATTTAGTTGACATTTTCTACTACATACGATTCTTTTAGCTTGTTGCCTCCCTATGTAAAAGGCCTTGTGGTTTTAGACCAAAGGTCTTATCCATATTTGCGTATTTGAGAATAACTTATACAATAGAGAGCCTTTGTAAAAGTAAGGGGTCAGACCATCCTCTGCCCTTGAGATCTTTATACAAGATGGTAATAAAATTGAGGAAAGGAGAGGCTAAGGAACTAGATGGCATTTATGTTCATCCCTTGGGTAGACCCCTTGGGTGCATTATGTCATCTGGCACTGCCTAGCATAAAAATATACCTCCTGGGTAGATCCCTTGAGTTTTTTATGTCAGATGGAACCCGAATACCTCCTTATTCTCCCTGTTTACTTAAAAAAAAAAAAAGATCTAATTTTGTTAATGGCAAAAGTATGCCTGGCACACAGTGCAACTCATATTACCTCTTTGGGTATTGTGAATTTTATTAATTGTCCTGAAGGGGATGCTAGTTAATAATAAACACATAATTAATTAAAAGCTCCAGTAGAGCATATGCCGTTGAATTATTTTGTAAAGATAGATGAAAACTTCCATAATGTATAATTACTTTGGAGAGTGAAAATAAATAAATGCTCCTGAAGAGGAAATATAATTAATTCATCATTGCCTCTGGAAGAGCAATAGTAAACAAATTTTACTCATAAAAGCGTAAGAGAATGTTGAAAGGAGAAAGTGCATTGAGATGCATTATATTCTTCAAGGTATCAAGGAAGGATATAAATTGCTCAACCGACTCAACTATTTCAAATTTGAAAATTCATCGTTGTCTCTAGAAGAACAGCGACACATTTTGCTCTGAAAGAGATTAAGATTATGTTGAGTGAAAAATACAATATAATGCAGTACAAGGTCTCGAAGACTTTGTTTTTTCAATTTGTATATTACAAATATCATGTTTATTGAAATTTACAAAAGGTAAATGAGAAATTTACTAGACAACAGTGATGAATTTTGCCATTTGACATGATCCATTGCACCATTTCGGTCTTATTATGATGCATAAAATATTAAACTATTAATATATTTATAGTTGGTAGAACCAGAAGTTTCTCCAATACAATGAATTATAGCCTACATCTTTATTTATGTGGTAAAATGGCAACAACACTGGCACGAATGAAATTCGTTGAATATCTCCGGCATATTTGATTTATACATGGTAACATATGTGAGTCTATTCACCCACGTCATCGACCATTTGATATCACAACCGGAAGCTTGTGAAAATTACTTACGGAGATATTTTTATACTATGCTCTCGTGATAATATTTCTCCACTAGCAGTAAAAATTTTATATCTTGATATTGTATCTAATGGGACAAAAGTTGAGCATCTAGTACGTAACGTGTACAAGTAAAACGATCCAGTAGAATCGTTTATTAAACGTGTGAAGTAATTGAAATCCATTACTTAGAAGAAGCAAATACCTCGTATATAATTGAGGATGTGTTGTAATACAAAAGCCATAAACTATATGCACAAGATCAAATGGGCCATTGTAAATTTTCTCCCAAAGTTTGGTTTTGGTCAGAAACCATACATATCCATCTTCAAAGATTACATGTGCAATCTATATTATAATTATTCCACCATAATGCATACAATGATGGAACCTCCAGAAGAGGTCAGAAATATATGTTGAATATTGAATCTCTAATGTTTGAGATTATTGATGTTGGATTAACTACTTGATGCACTGATCGTATTAATTTGACGAGTTAGTTACTCCGAAAGGGAGATTTATTAATTACTCGATTGGTTAATCGTCATTTTAGCGAGTTAGTTATCCTAACATCAAGGGGAAAAGTTAAAACAAGCTATTTATAAAATCAGATGGACAATACAATTATCTCATTATGATCCTCGATGATATGAACATGAAGTTCTAGAGACAATGTTTAAGACCAGATGTTTACATGACCGAATGTATAAATATATCTTATATAAAAGGCTTTTAAAACTTAGAATTTGATAATGTGTCCCTGAAGGACCACCTACCACTATTTGTTAGTTGAATGTCTATTTGATGAGTGGTAGAACCATCGATTCTAAATAATAAAAATCCTCGTAAATGACAAAGTTTAAATCCATAGAGATGGCAAATATTAGTGATTATAATTCATAAGAAGTTTGAACTGGAATAGTTTCCCATTACGATGAATTAACTTCAGAAGAAGTATATGAATACTTGGGAAACTTAATGATTGTGAGATCTCATTATCAAAGAACATTGAATCGATCAATAATAAAATGTCGACATGAAAATAGCTGCAGCAGTAAAATAAATGAAAATGAGGATCATGAAATGAAAGTCTGTTGTAGATGTAGACATTAAACGTATTGGCCACAACAAATGAACGATGTGTACTTAGAATTGAAATTGCTTGCGAACTAGAAGTTTGGCAAGTGATATACCGGCTAAATTTTGGCGGGTGATTGTGTAAAAGATTATCGAGCAACCTCTTTGTTGCACAAGTTTTTTCCAAACTCCGGTTTATCTTGTGGTGGATGAAATAGAAAATCTTTCGTTATTTGCTAATCTGGGAGCAAATGAAGATAAGAAATGCGTCTCTTGAATATAGTGATCACTTAATACGTGATACTTGATATATAATAATGACGTCTATATGAAATCTCTGAAGGATTATAGAAAAAGGGACATGATTCCCAATTCCTAAGAAATTACTTCAAAAGACTTGCGTTAGTTATAGTGTCTTCATGTGTCTAGATAAATATTTAGGTTCATATTTTTGAATATAATAGATATGCTATATTTGTTTTTATTTAAATATGTTATGTTTGTTTAGAACATGGTTGTTTGTGATTTTCTATCTGTTTTATGACCATATTTCAATGATAGGATGATAACTATTACTAGAATGAGTATTCATAAGTCATATGTGCATTTACAATTTTGTTAGCACCGAACTCTTGTAGAGTTTCAAAAGGCTGAATATTATCAAAACTTATCACGAAGTTCAAATAGCCTGAATATAATAAAACTCCTGAAGAGTTATATCATAGTTATGAACACTTCTAAGTAAGTTCGAAAGGTTGCTACTTGCCTGAAACAAGGATAATGAAAGATCTTGAGTAGAATCTCGGTCTAAATAGTTTGACCTTTATGTATTCAAAATCCGTTGAGTGCACTTGATTAAAATCTTGATGTGCATATAGATCATTCTTCTTGACTTTCTATTAATGATGTAGACCGATTTAGTCTTGAAGTACCATATAAAGTTTCGGTTCATCTAATCAATACTCAAGACTTGGATGTTGTATATTGATACCTTCAAGGTATGATGGTCATGCGTCTCCACTATTATAAAACACTCAAGGTTATAAAGGTATATGAAGACAACCGTCTACATGAGAAGTCGAAGTAATCTGTCTATTATTGACCTAAACAATCAATTACCTGGTCAATAGCTTGGTGTGCAACAAGAAGATTACAAGTGACGTACTTAATAGGGGGAGTAACCCACGCTGTACTCTTTTTTCCTTGATCGAGGTTTTGTCCCAATGGATTTTTCTGACAAGGTTTTTAACGAGACAACGTCACATTCGGAAGTGTACTCTTTTTCCTTCACTAGGGTTTTATCCCAAAGGGTTTTTCCTAGTAAGGTTTAAACGAGGCATTATTCCACAAAAATGGACATTCAAAGGGGAAGTGTATGAAATATTTGATTTGATTTGATTGAATGTCCACAATTAATATGTATTATGTATTATTCTATTCACAATCATGATTCTGTAATATTTAGCATTAATGATAGGTGATTCACTTCCCACGGTTTGATCCCATACTTCTTGTATAAATAGGGAGCTCATTCATGTTTTAAAATACATCTGAATACAAGTCTGTTATTTTTCTCTACTCTCTTGTCTCTCCTCTTTGTTCTTATACTTAGTTTCATATTAGTAATTTAGTATTAATTTTATAACAATATTCTTTTGATTCTAATTATAAGGTGCAAATTTCAAAATATATTTACTGTCATTCTTATAATTAAAACCTACTATTTGAGGCAGTAGTTGGACAAATCTGAAACCGCCAGTATGGATCACTTTGAATAAAAATAGTATATCAAATGGTCTAATTTGTTAAGAACAATCGTACAGGTCCTTGCATTTCTCATTTCTCTAATTTCAAACAATCAAAATGGCAAATATAAATAGATTAATCCACCATGCATGATGTCGGTCCATGGACTTTAATAACCCAAAAAATCAGTTTCTTTTATGAACTGCGCGGTTGAAAGTTTGGAGCACCGTCTTTGCTATTAATGAATTAGTTGTCAACCGACCTAGTACATGTATGTTTACTACAGGTTTTATTCTTTTCATTTTTTTTTAATTTTAAGCTTCCGTGTTTGAAACTACTGTATGAACTGATTCGAACTCAAATCAAGTAAGTAGTTATATTTAAAAATGATTGTTATGTTTAGATTTTCATTTTTAATACAATGTGTATTATAAATGTAAATGAAACTTGACAATTATTTCAAGGCCAAAAAAGATATATAGTTTTGGGGGAAAAAAAAAAATTCTCCAACGGATACTTAATCACTATCTATATAAGCTATATTATTTTGACCTAATGCTTCATAGCATATATGATGCTTTGATAGAATACACACAAAAAATAGATTAATGATAACCAAGATTCAAGTCTAGTAATTCATCTCATTGTATGATATTCTTTCAATTTCAAAATAATTGCCCCTTTTGATAATTTATTTTTATTATAATTTTGACTAAAAATAAAAATTCAAATAGAAACAATCATTTTGGGACAGAATGAGTATATGACAATCAATTGGTAACTATAATAATAATTATATTATCAAGAAACTGTCAAATAAATTATTAGAGCAATTATTATCAATATATATCATCGTTTCTTTGCACAAAATTAAGTCAAAATTCTTACACCTTTGCTTAAATAAGAGGTCCTAAGTGATGGGATTTTATTTATATTAAAAAAACTATAGAAATAAAATTTTTATGGTTTTGACTCCTTAGGGAGAATTTTTTTAACCATGCAGGCATGTTACATTTGACTTTATGTCTCAATATTCATGTACAAAATTACTTGCCTAAATTAGTACCATAGACTTGACTATATCAAACTTATTTGATGAGAAAAGAGATATTTTTATGTTGGAATGGAAGGAGAAAGTATAATTAAAGATGTTCTACAGCTCTAGTGGGAAAGAGTGAAAAAGAAATGGAGAAAGAAAAGCGTCGGAGAAAAAAAATACTGTAAATAAAGAGTAGGAAAGAGTAAAGTCAAAGTCGTTATACTAAGTGGAGTGCGGATACGATAAAACAAAAGGATGACAAATTAAAAGCTATCGAGCGTTGATTGAATTAGCGCCGCCTCATTTTGACTTCAATATTATTGCCACCCAACCCGACTGATATCATATTCATATGCTTAACGCCCTAATCAATTACCTCTCTTTGTCCACCTTTTAGCTATCCTGTCCAATCCAATTTATGAATTTAATTATAACCCAACCAAAAATGCGGGCAAATATAGTATTACTTATTACTTATTTATTTATTTATTATTTAGTATTGGAACCGGTTAACATCGAAGAAAGATGGTTTCTTACGGAGCAATAATCACTGTGCTTATTTAAGAGTAAAGATTGTTGTAGAGAAAATTTACAAAGAAAATATATAAGGAATGAATCATAACCGTATATGGTTAAAACTTACATTTAGGGATTTATATATTTTAAGATAAGCGGATCATTAAAATTCAGTTACATCATTACCTGTTAAAATTTCATACATGTATCACTACTATTTACTCAATATGCATATGATGATCGTGAGGGTCGCGGATCCAGATTAAGTATGTTACGTGGCTCATGAGATAATTCCATCAAAGTCGGATAATGTTTATAGAGGCCAAAATTAAATGCGTTCTTCTGTTACATGAATCGGGTATCGATTTCTAGTTAGTAAATACTCATATTTATTTATTTATACACATTAAACATTATAAGAAAAAGGAAGACAAATTAAGTTGAATGGATTAATTAGGTAGGCGTCACCAATTCACAAGTTTTGTGTGTGCCTATAAATAAGCCTTGGTTTAGTAGCAAACTCGCAACTCTTACACTTCCACACAAAACGTACTCTATTTTCCATTTCTTGGGGGTTTCTTTTTTGTTACCAAAGAAAAGAAAGAAACACCAAAAAAAAATAAAAATGGAGCTCTTCTATGTATCTTTGCTTTGCTTATTTGTTTTCCTAGTAACCCTTTCACTCCATTTCCTCTTCTACAAGAACAAATCCGGGTTATCGGGTCCCTTACCGCCCGGCAAGACCGGATGGCCGATGATCGGAGAATCCCTCGAATTCCTCTCCTGCGGATGGAAAGGCCACCCGGAGAAATTCGTGTTTGATCGGATGGCCAAGTACTCGTCCCGCGTATTCAAAACACATCTCCTCGGCGAAAAAGCGGCGGTTTTTTGCGGGGCTCCGGGGAACAAGTTCCTGTTTTCGAACGAAAACAAGCTTGTTCAAGCATGGTGGCCTAGTTCAGTTGACAAAGTCTTCCCTTCATCCAACGGTTCATCGAAAGAAGAAGCCATCAAGATGAGAAAGATGCTCCCGAATTTCCTAAAACCCGAAGCGTTGCAACGTTACATCGGCGTCATGGATTACATTGCCGGGAGACATTTCTCATCCTTCTGGGAAAATAAGGTTGAAGTCGAGGTTTTCCCACTTTGCAAGAACTATACTTTCTGGATTGCGGCCAGGTTATTTGTGAGCGTCGAAGATCCAACTGAAGTTGCCAAATTGCTTGAACCCTTTAATGTTTTGGCTTCCGGGTTGATCTCGGTTCCGATTGATTTGCCTGGAACGCCGTTTAACAAGGCGATCAAGGCATCAAATCAGATAAGGAAGCAACTTTTGGCCATCATTAAACAGAGGAAACTTGATTTGGCTGAGGGGAAAGCATCTCCGACACAAGATATCATGTCACATATGTTGACTACAAGTGATGAGAATGGGAAATTCATGCAAGAATTGGACGTTGCTGATAAGATTCTTGGGTTGTTGATTGGTGGGCATGATACTGCTAGCTCTGCATGCTGTTTCATTGTCAAGTATTTAGCTGAGTTACCTGAGATCTATCAAGAAGTTTATAACGGTAAGCCACGAATATTCTCTGCCTTAGTTTACTTTGTTAAACTGTTTTTGTTCTTTCGATTTAACATGTTTGTGAGAATATATATATATATATATATATATATATATATATATCAGTTATTAGATTGCCTTCAAGAAAAAGAAAGTCTATGTGAACGATAGACATATCATTAATTACATGATAACTAGCTAGGGTGATAATCTCCACTTAATTTTTAGTATCACGTAATTAAATTGTGAAATCTTGTAGTAACAAAAAGTATGGTGCATGCATCTTAATTGGTATCAAGACAATATATTATGAATTAGCTTAAAGATGATATGATTAATAATTGCAAGAAAGAAAAATCCGGTTATAATTTTATAAACATTATATTTTGTGGTACAATTGCTATATAAATTACTACCTCCGTCCCAAAAAAAAAGTCCACTTTGAATTTTATACTATTTTTAGTACAAATTTAAAAATTCAATGTGGGCTATTTTTTTTTTGTGACGGAGGGAGTAATAAGTATTGATATGTAGAGATCAGTCAGAGCATAGTATTTATATGTTTTATTCCAATTTTCAATTTTCATGGGCTGATCTCATATTGGCCAAAAGATCACTCAGGCTCGAAATATAGTAAGTGTTGGGCAAGAAAAGAGAAAACACGTCTACTTGTTTGGTTAAAAATTTTCAATGGGCAGTTCTTTGTGGAGTACATTTTGTCTTCTTTTAATTGTGCGCGAATAATGGAATAACACCATACCTATAACGTGATGCATCCAATCATTCATTTAGAGAGAAGTGGAGATTTAATATGTTTGTGAATATATATATATATATATATATATATATATATATATATATGTTTATTAGATACTACTAGATTTCCTTCAAGAAAAAGTAAGTCTATGGGGACCATAGATATATCATTAGTTACATCTTACATGATACAAGTTAGGGTGACAATCTCCACCTAATTTTTAGTATCACGTTATTAAATTGTGAAATCTTGTAATAACAAAAAATATGGTGCACGCATCGTAATAGGTATCAATAAAATATATTGTGAATTAGGTTAAAGATGACACGATTAATAATTATTGCAAAAAAGAAAATATCCGGTTATAATTTTTTTAAATATTATTACTTTGTGTGGTACAATTGCGATATATAAATTAATAAGTATTGATATGTAGAAATGAGTCAGAGCGTTGAGCGTAGTATGTATCTGTATTATTCCTAAATTAATGTGTTTTCTACTTGATTTAAATTTTATTGGGATAATTTCGTACAAGTCAAACAGATCATTCAGGCTCGAAAATATAGTAGGTGTTTGGGCAACAAAAGAGAAAGCAAATACTCTACTTGTTTGGTTAAAAATTTTCAATGGCAGTTCTTTGTGGAGTAGATTTTGTCTTCTTTTGTGCAGGGACTATAATGGAATAACACCCATACCTATAATGTCATGCAACCAATCATTCATTTAAAGATAAATGGTGATCTTTTCTCCATCTTCATTTATTTCTTCCTTTCATATGTGTCTATAATTAATAATACAGCCTTCAAAATTAGTTAGTTGGGGACTACCATTTTGGATTTTGGTCCAAAATTTTTGGAGTCCATATATTTGGAGTAAAATTTTTCCCTAGCTATCAATTTAGCTCATAGACTAATTAAAGATGCTATAAGAAAGGAATGGTTATATACCTTTGACAAATTATCTCTTTCCCATATCAGATTTATACAAAATATCAATATAAGACTCTTATTTTGGGACGGATGAAATATATAATTGTTGATCTCCAATTTGTCGGTTCTATTTTCAATTTCCGATAATTGTTTATTTTGTGTTTTGACAGAACAAATGGAGATTATGAAGTCAAAAGCTCCAGGCGAACTATTGAACTGGGATGATATTCAAAAGATGAAATACTCATGGAATGTGGCCTGTGAGGTGCTGAGACTTGCTCCCCCTCTTCAAGGTGCATTTAGAGAAGTTCTTAACGAATTCATGTACAATGGCTTCTCTATTCCAAAGGGATGGAAGGTAATTTAAATCTAAAATGATTACTATAACGCCATCTTATAATAATTTTTTTTAACGGTGAAATAATTTGATCATGTGTCTTATTTATGACATATGTCCCACAGTGAAAACCGTTATATTTATAAATAATAAATACATAATTTCTTCGTAATCAGAGAAATCGTATTCTTATAGTAATAAGATATGATTAGTATGTGACAAATCTTTTCTATTTCTATTAAATCATGCAGATATATTGGAGTGCAAATACAACCCACAGAAATCCTGAATGTTTCCCTGAACCCGAAAAGTTCGACCCGTCAAGGTTCGAAGGAAGCGGACCCGCGCCTTACACATTCGTACCTTTCGGCGGTGGCCCAAGAATGTGTCCGGGTAAAGAATACGCCCGATTGGAAATCCTAGTTTTCATTCATCACGTCGTGAAAAGGTTCCGGTGGGACAAAATCATTTCCGACGAGAAAATCGTGGTCGATCCGATGCCAATTCCGGCCAAGGGACTCCCTGTTCGACTCTATCCTCACAATCATCGTGCATAAAAAGATTAGTTCTTGTCGGTTGTAATGATCGTTGGGGAAAGATAAAAGATCAATGTCAATTTGTTGCATTTACTTTTGAAGAAAACAAAAAGAGAAAATAGATTATTGGTGTTTGTGTTTTGACAATTTGTTCATAAATCATAAATTCTCATGGGAGGTGGTCATAGTTTAATTGAAGTGATATGACTACATTAATTGCAATGTTTGCTTATCATCTGTTCTGATAGTTACTTAATTACGAGCTGTGCATAAATCTTTCCATCACTAATTTTGTATGAAAATATTAAAATGATTACATATGAAACTTAGAGAAATCATGATATTTTAAATTGCATGATCCTATCGAGAATTAAACTACATCTATCTAAATTCTTCAGTCATCACCATATCACACATTCTCTTACCCCTTTTCTTTTGGGTACAATTACTGATGATGTTTCTAATAAGCTGCAATCGGACGAAATAAATTCCTACTTAATTGAAGCTAGATTTTTTTAAAAAAAAGTTTACAAAGGGAAATGGAAGGAGTTTTCTGTAATCAAAGTGTGTGTACCTGCGAAGCGTGTGAGATGGAGAAAAACCACACGTTCCATTTTCTTGGAAGCACTTGAACACTAGCTAGACAACTACATACGCAAGCAATCCTTTTTGGACTTTTTCAGTTACGACAAAATGATAAATCCAACATTGTTGAAACTTCTAAGTTCTAACCCATGCTAGTTTCTAACGTGACCATGGAAAAATGAAGGAAATCTGATGCATCCGTGATTGTGAAATGAGTTTATTTTATTTCCGCTTGATTAATATAGGAACAGTGAGATTATTTTAAGTAAATACATATCTAATACCGGACATGATATTATTTTCCTCGCTAGGTCTATTGTGATAAAAAGGGTATGTTTATTTCGGTTTTTTAGTGTGTGTTTTTAGGTGTTTTTTTGTATTGAAAATGTAAAACGATATATTGGAAATATAAAAAAGTATACTAGGATGAGACAATTATTATTTTATTAATCTAAAAAAACCATAAAAAAATTAAACAAACAAAGTTTTTTCCAACAAGTATTTTAACTTCTACTATGTTGTGATATAGTCATTCTTTCGAGCACTACTTTTCTTTATTTTACTAAGAAAAAAAAATTCTTATTGCATGTCACGTGGGTCCGAACCTAATCATTACCTAAAACCTCATCATTCATATTCCTCCTGTCTCGAAACAAGGTCTAGTTTTGATTTTCATTTGAGAACATATATTGTCTAGTTTAGATTTAAATTCTTCATATAATTTTTAATAAAAGTAAAAATCGAATGAGATAACCATTTTGGTATGAATGGGAAATTATTTTTGAGAAAAGTATACGTGGAGACAAGAACGGGCGCCGGGTCTGACTATGTGACCCAAAAATTTCGAAAGTGAAGTGAAATTGATAATAGGAAACCATCTTACCAACCTCTTGGATTAATTTACTAATGCAATTGCACTTTTCGGGAAAAGAAAATAAATTAAAGCCGTATTTTCTTGTGTTGTTAGTTTATACTCCTTTCGTCCAGTAATTATTGTCTAGTTTGGATTTTCATTTCTAATTCAAATTGTACTAAAAGTAAAATTTCAAACTGGATAATAATTTTGGGACAGAGGGAGTAACTGTTTTCTCCCAAGTTTCGTTGACCTGACCAAGTTTCGTTGCACCTAGATGAATTAAGGTACTCCAAGTCATATATGTGTTTTTCTTCATGTTTTCTTTGAAAATTTCAATTTACGGAAGAGAGAGAGAGAGAGAGAGAAGGTTTCGACTTCTTTATAAACAAAGAAATCAACCGCTTTTGAATTATGCAAGACAACTTTTTTAACTATCTAAAAAAAAAAAAAGGAAGAAGAAGAATAAGAAGGGATTCCACATTGGAGACACTAAATAATTTGGGCATAATTACAATTATAAAAGCATAAAGATGTTTATAGTTTGACCAAATTCGATCTCTACGGCATTTGATATGGCGCTAGCTGTATAGCTTTATTTGGACAGTGTATATGATTGTCCTTTTGTTACTTAAATAACACAATAAAAAAATAGGTATTTTAAGACAACAGAAGTATGATCATTTACACATGGTATTAGAATGTTACTGAACCTTTTTTGTTTTTTTAATTGTATCATATATAACTAGAATATAATTCTAAACCCAAACAAGGCATTTATTTTTCTACATAGTAATCCTAACATTTCAAATGGCAAATTGTTTAAATTCTTTCCTTATATTACCTTTGTGTTGACTTGGTATTTTTTGGGTGGGGGGAGAGTAAACTTTTGACTTGTTAGTTGTATTGTACGTAAGTGTGAATCTATGTGGGATAATTGACTTTCACATGATGATGGTAACAATAGCTAGATCGCAAAATTCTTAATTAATTAGTCCCAAAGCCGCTAAATTCTGTCGCATTTTTGTCAAACTTTAATAACTCAAACAATCTTGTTGTTAATAGGCGAATGTTGAATTTAATAAGACAAATAGGCCAATATTTTGAAAATGAACCAACAAAAAAAAATGTTTTACTAAATAATTAAAGACCTCCAGAGCTTATTAGATTAACTAGGAGGAATAATAGCACACATGACATAACACGTACTAGCTAGCCGTTAACGTTTGACAATTTGAAAAAGCAAACCATTTCTATTTCTAAAGCTTAAGAAAGAGAAAGTCCTCTCTTTCTCCAAGTGAGAAAGGTCACTATCCTAACCTTACACAAATACCCACTCACACTTCCCAATCTAACTCCTAATCTGCTTGCATGCACTTCATCTTGCCATATTTTATCATCATCCTTCCTTGATAATCACAATCTGATTGCTTCTTCTTCTTAATTTTCATTTTCTCAAGTTTTCATCATGATCCAGGATGTGCCTCCAGGTTTATGCCATTTGGTTCGCCTGCAATTAAACATCTACTTAAAATAATCTTTTTAGTGATCTCCTGCTTGTTTAAAAAACCGAAACCCATCCCACTAAATCTTTGCTTCATCCTTTTACAGCTTAATTTCTCCTAAATCTCGTCTTTTCCCAATACCTTTTTCCCTTCATCCCAAAATCCCAGGCTCCTAGATTCACTCATACACTTAAACCTGTTGTCCTTTAGTTGTCGAGGTAATAAAGGTGTTTCCTTTTCTGCCTGCTTTACCTCCCCAAACATTCGATCAAACTTCAAGATTGAAATCCCGTTAGTTCCATCTTCCAAATTTATTGTTCCTCTGCTCCTCCATCTTCTTGTCTTCTACTTCTTAAAGGGTTTTTTGTTTGCTACACTGCATTACAAAACTCCAGATTCTCTGATATTCCTTACAACACACCCAGAGCCTTTTTAGTTGCTTTAATAGTCCACTAACTATGAATCATCGACATGCAATTGATGAGGATTCAATCACTGCTATGTCCATTGGGGTTCTAAATTCTCGAAGGAGCACTACGGTTTTAATCCGGCTATAGATCTGGAACCACATCAGATCTACACTTTCCATTATCGTGCTGAGGCCATGCGTCTCACTGATGCCAACACCAGTCTATCCAGGGACAATCTTCGACTCTCTCTTTTGGACTGCCTTCTAAATGATCGCGAGTTTGATCAAACGTGCATGCAGAAGTACCTGAATGAGAATTGGCCCATGTACACTCAAATCCTGCACTATGATAGAAACTTCTTTATCATTAAGTTCCTCAGCCGAGCAGATTTGCTAACAGTTCTGGACAATGGTCCATATGTGGTTGAAGGCGGCCTTCTCATCCTACGCAGATGTTATGATACTGAAGATCTGGCCCTGGATGCCATCCAGATTGACAGGCTCAGCCTGTGGGTGCGAATGCATGGCGCTCTAATCACAGCTTTGAACTATTTGGGGGCCCAGGATCTTGCAAAGAATGTGGGAGAAATCGCTCTCGTCAAAGAAGATTGTGTATCCCTGAGGAAGGCCATATATGTCAGGGCTAAAGTGTGGGTGAAACCAGGGGATCCTTTAATTCCAGGGTTCTATTTTGAAAAGAGAAATGGCAGGTATGCCAAAATTATTTGCTACAAATATGAGAATGTCCATAAATTCTGCAAGAGGTGTGGCAGATTGGGTCATCACCTTCAGCACTGTCCCATGCAAGATGATCAGACCCTGGAGGAGTATCTGGATGCCTTTTTTCTGGAAAAGGCAATTCAAAATGGCTCGCCCATGTATATTGATCCCAATAATCCTCTCTTTCCAAGTTCAATGCGAGCACATGGTCATAAGAAGAGGCGCTGCACAAGAATCAAATTCAACAAATATCTTTTCTTGCAGGATTATTATAAGCATATTCCAGAGCACTATGTGCAAGATGGCTTTCACATCACAGAATTGGATGAACCTCATCCAGCAGCCTGGTATCCTATCTATCCAACGGATAATGATAAGGATGATAATGGTGATAACAACCATGATGGAGATGATGATCATGGGGATAATCATGATGATGACTATGGTGAGGATCCCCACAAGGATAATGGTGCGGATTCGGATGAGTACCACCAGAATGATCCCCTGCAACATCCACCTCCACATGATTCCCTATCTGTTTTCTTACAGAATGCCATTCGTGAGAAAAGATTCCTGAATACTGACAGAAGAGCAGCTCCAGCAACAGAGGAGGATCTCGGGAGAGATGTGGGCTTCCAACAACTCCATACAGAAGCATCTCTTCCCGATTCTGACTCAGGTAGCTTTTATTCATCTTCATCTCATTTAATGGCCTCTGATAATTTGAGTGTTTCTGCTTTTGCCTCTTCGGATGAGGAGATGCCTGAGTCCTTCTATCATATACCTGAGGTGCCTTCCCATGAGGATTTGTCTGACTCGGCATCATATGTGCCTTCCCTGTTTATCCCCAATGTTCCTGATTTTCCATCTTTTGATGATGACTCTGTTCACCTCATCTCTGTACTAGATATTGTGTTGTTTGATTCTGAGTCTAGTATTAGAGAGTCTGTAATTGCATCAATGAATGCTTTTGATGATTTGGACAGCTCTGTGAAGGATGAATCTACTTTGTTGCAAGTCTCAGAAAATACTGCGCAAATGTACTATTCTTCTGACGACCCTGCTTCAAAGCATTCCTCTTGTAATAGACAGGATAGACAGGCTAGATATTTTAGAGCCTTGAAAGGCAAAAGGAAGCTGAGTAAAGTGACCAACAGAAAAAAGCCAGGATGGTCAATGCCAGTTTTTTTAATGGAGGAGGAGCCGGATCATAGTTCAGATTCAAGTGTTAGCCAAAGCCACCTGAAGGTTCGCAAAGTAGTATCTAACTCTGAGGTTGCTAGGAAGAGGACTCCTACTATGCATACACCAGGATGGCAGTAGGAGCTCTGAAAACAAAGAGGCGGTTGCTAGGGCTACCAATACTACTCATCATACTACTCAGAAAACAGGTCCATGGAGAATGACGATTGAGCGTGATCGGTTGTATGCATCCTCAAATTCAGAAAGTGACAGGAAGAGACACTCAGACACCCCCCCTGGAGGACGTCATGTGCTCCCATGTGAAGCGGAAGAAAGATCACACTGAAGGTGAAGGTGGCAAGAACCAGCATCATCAGAGCAAGTTGGTGGACATGGTGGAGAACCCTCTGAAGAGCTTTGCGATGGTTTTGCTAGATCAACCATCTTCACCACAATGAGTATCATCTCTTGGAACTGTATAGGCATGAACAATGCCTCTACCAAGCTAAGCATAATTAGATTATATAAGTACTATAAACCATCTATTTTGTTTTTAATGGAAACTAGGGCTACTAGAAGTACTTTAGATGTATGGAAACAAACCACCCCTTTCAAAAACTCTTTGGTTGTAGATTCTATTGGTAGCAGTGGTGGTTTAGCCTTATTTTGGCTTGAAGGAGTAAAGCTTACTATACTGCTTCATACCTCTAATGTAATATTAGCAAGGGTCTGCGAGCCCTCTGGGGTTAAATGGCTAGGAGTTTTTCTGTATGGTTTGCCTTCCTGTCAAGGAAGAGCAGCATTTTGGGATCAGTTGAATGTCAGCATCAGCAATTACCAGTACCCTGTGTTTGTTTTAGGTGATTTCAACCAAGTAGTAAGTCAAGAAGACAAACTAGGAGGAAGGTCAGTGTCATCTCATGATACCAAGCCAATCCACCAATTCCTTGATCATAATGATCTAGAAGAACTTAAAAGTATTGGTTGTTGATATACATGGACAAACAAAAGACATAATCAAGACTCCATCTTTGAGAGACTTGACAGAGCTTTTGTCAATCGACAGTGGCTTCTATTTTCTCAAAGGCAACCATCAGGACTCTATCAATCCTGGTTTCAGACCATGCTCCCATTCTTGTGCAAATCAAGCATAAAGGGCACAAAACAAGAAAGCAGCATAAATTTGAACAATTCTGATCCAGATGTCCTAGGTCACAGGAACTGGTTCATACTGCCTGGACACAAGGTACTCTTCAACTTCCAAACCAGCAGGAAAAATTGTCTCATCAACTGAAAACAAGTCTCACAACCTTACATAATTGGAGTAGTGAACAATTTGGCCACATTGATAAAAAAGTATTGCATCTCACAACAAGACTGTTTGACTTGCAAATAAATTGGGAGAGGGATCCACATAATTCACATCTTATTAATCAATTGGAATCACAAAAAAAAGGAGCTTGAGGAGGCCCTCCAATATCAACATGACTACTGGCACCAGAGATCCAAGCTAATCTAGCCAATACAAGGTGATAGAAACACTAAGTTCTTTCACAAGTTGGCAACTAGAAGGAAAAGCACAAACTGGATTACTAAATTGTGCAACACAGAGGGGCAATGGATTTAGGACCATGATCAAATGGCAACACTGATTCAAGACCACTTCACTCAGATCTTCCAGCCAGCTCCAGCTTCTCAGCAGGAACTCTCCTTTCCTTTCTTACACTAGATCCTCAACAATGTTCAGGAATCCTTGACAACTGCATAGGTGGACCAACTAGCTCTTCCTTTCACAGGTATTGAGGTTTGGGAGGCAATCAGACAAATGGCTCCCTGGAAGGCCCCTGGACCTGATGACATGCCAGTAGGTTTTACAAGACGTATAAATATATTATTGGCCAGGATGTTGAGCAAACAATCTTAGAGGCCATTAATCAACAATGCTTCCCCAACAATGGAACCAGACCAGCATGATTCTCATTCCCAAGCACCCTAATCCTGCTACACCAATGGACTTCAGGCCAATTAGTCTCTGCAATGTTAAATACAAGATCATTACAAAAATGATCACCAACCGACTTAAGGCCATCATGCCAGACCTAATTGATGAGTACCAAAATAGTTTTGTACCAGGTAGAAATATAAACGAAAATATACTTATGGCCGCATGAGGTAGTTGAATGTATCAGAAAGAAGGAAGGTGCCATTGGATTCGAAGCTATAAAATTAGATATGAGCAAGGCCTATGACAGGGTTTCATGAAATTTCTTGGAGGTAGTGCTACAAAAGGTAGGTTTTCCATTGACTTTGATTAAACTCATTATGCATTGTGTTACCACAGTGTCATATCATGTACAATTCAATGGAGATAGCCTACTATATTTTGCGCCAAGAAGCGGTTTTACACAAGGGTGCCCTCTCTCCCCATACCTATTCATCCCGGGTCAATAGGTTTTGTCCTCTGCAATCAGAATAGAAATTCGTTCATTCCCAAGTCTAGGAGTCAAGATAAGCAGTGATGCACCAAGAATCAGTCACTTGATGTATGCTGATGACAGCCTCTTTTTCATTGAGTGCAAACCAGAGGCCATTCAGGCTCTATCTGGACTTATCCATACATATACTGCCTTCTTAGGACAAAAGATGAATCATCAAAAATCTTTTTTTTTGGTAAGTTAGAACACTCACCCTGATATGATACAATTCCTACATGAGATCACAGGAATACCACAAGGTGTTTTCCATAGTAAATGCTTGGGACTTTCTCTGGACTTCAAGGAAAAGAAAAAAAAATCATTTTCAAGGAATTTACAACTAGACTATCCAGGAAATTCGTAGACTAGAAAACCAAACTTCTGACATTTGCTGGAAGAGTTACTCTAGCGAAATCTACATTGTCTGCTATGCTAGTATACCCCATGGGAGTCTTCAAACTTCTAACTTCCACCATCAAGTAGGCAGAAAGCATTATTGGAAACTTCATATGAAATGGAGATAAAACAGGGAAAGGAGTATATTGGCGATCTTGGAAAAAGGTCAGCAAATCAATCTTCCAGTGGGGCTTGGGGCGTAAGTCCATCAGTGAATTTAACCAGGCTTTGTAAGCCAAACACGCCTGGAAAATAACTTCACAACCAGAGTCTCTATTGGCCAAACTCTGTAAAGCCAAGTACAACACTTCAGAACCATTTCTCCAACAAGAGCTGCCAAATAATGCCACTTGGGGTTATCGTAGTGTTCTCTGGGGAGCCCGATTTTTGTAGGGAAATGTCAAATGGAAAGTGATTTCGGGAAGGAACATTCACATTGCTGATGATTGGATCCCAAATCACAGTAATCCCATTCAGCATTCCTCCTTCTTGGCAACACATTCCAACATTCTGACGCGAGATCTCATTACAACTAATGGACAGTGAAAGTAGCATTTTCTCAGGACCATCTTCCCTGATCACCTCATTCCACATACTATAGGGATTTACATTGATCAATCAAGGGGCTTGCAGAATGACAAACTCATCTAGACAAAGACGTCTCATGGCAATTATACTGTCCAGTCGGGATATCATATAGCAATAAACCTAGATACGGGACAACAAGGAATCCAAGCACAACCACCACAGCAACACTTGGAAATTCAGGCCTGGAAGAGGTTATGGAACTCTAGAGTTCCACAAAAGAAGAAGTTCCTCTTTTGGAGGGCTGCCTCTAATGCCCTGCCTACGAAGGCAAGTTTACACAGAAGTGGTATTCAAGAAGACCAGTTTTGTCCCTGATGCTACACACAGGTGGAAGATGATATTCATCTTTTCTTCAATTGTGCTATCTTACAAGCAATATGGAGTTTTACCTATCCGTCATTCCAAACAATAATGAATGGTAACTCTCCCAACCTTCTGCACTGGTTTGTTGAATGGACACAGTCATCTCCTTCTTCAGAGGACATGGATCTTTTCCTTACAATCTTCTGGAGAATATGGATAGAACGGAATGATAAAGTTTGACGTTCCCAATCTACGGATACAGTAAACTCATGGAGAACAATCCAAGTAGAACTTAATCATCTCAAGGATTCAATTTGCCACCAACAATTGCAAGACACGGCCTCTTCCTCTAGGCCTATGTCTCTGCCCCTGACTCCCAACATGAATCAATCAGTAATTGTTTTTTATGGATCTTTTCATCCGAGATCACTAGATGTTCAGCGGGAGCTTGGAAAATTACCTCAGCCACAGGCCTTTTGATGCAAATTAAGGCAGCAGTCTTTGCCTCCCTCTCAGCATGCCAATCAGAAGCAACCACATGCTTACTGGAACTTCAAGAAGCGTGGAATTTTGGTATCCGAGACGTGGTAGTTAATACTAATTGTCTCGAACTCACCTCCTCCCAGCGGATATCCTCTTTTCCAGTAGAAGTATAGGAAATAATTTCAAATACTCGGAATCTAAAAGCTAAATTTCACTCATGTGTTATAGTTAAAGTTCGTAGGTCTGATGTTCGGGACATGCATAATCTGGCGTATTCTAGAATGCAGTATAATAGCTTAAGTACCTTAACATAATAAACAGGCACTTCTTAAAAAAAAAGTACTAACTAGCCAGCCAAAGAGGAAAGAAAGAAGCCTGATTTTGTCCTTGCTGCTCTCTAAACTAGACTTTCTTAAATAATTGATGGTTCAAATATTCTTACTTATATCGTGTCTTTTATCAAATGTCTACACTTATAAATTTTTCATTTACATAAATACATCTTATTGAATAAACTTTACAGTGTAATAATCAGAGAGGAGTCACCATCGTTATTTGTAATAGGTCTCCAAAAAAAAAAAAACTGAGAGGAGTGGGGGATTTAGAAATGGTTTAAAGATAGAATTCAAATATTCAATCATAGAGTACTCGTGTCTTTTTTCTGAATAATGAAGTGATGAGCACTTTTGAAAAGGATTTTAATTTTAACCACCAAAAAACAAAGGTCTAACTCACTAATTAATAGTGTCAGCTTGCAGGATAGACATAATGTTTCCTCCTTTTCGTTTAACGTCAAATAATTTACGCATTCATGTTCTCTTCGCTTCTTCTTCTTCGGCTCAGTTCCTTTTTTCCCCCCTCTGTCTTCATGAGCAAAATAAACATATCTTGAATTGTGCTATTTTAATAGTTGACCTGGTAATATGTCCACAAACACAGTCTATAAAAAAAAAATTCGAACAACATCTTTGGATCACCAAAGTAATTTAGACAATCGTCCCTCTGTTCCACAACAAAACTATTTTTTAAAACCAAAATAATACAAAAAGAAATAGAATATATATATATATATATATTTAATTAAGATAGGAAGAGTAAATTT